AGGAGTGATATGTATATAAAGGAATTACTTTTAAAAAATTAAAGGAAAAAAAAATAGAAGGATGTTGAAATTTGTTTTCCAGAGGCTAATCTCCTAGAATCCTTCTTGATATCCTACTTTTCTACCTGCAGGGATCCAGTAAGGATATTCAGGCATATTTCTCCCACCAAAGGGACAGAATTGCTTAGGGCAGCAAGAAAGGTATCTACAGTAGTCCTCGGGTTACGACCACAGTTAAGCCCAACATTTATGTTGCTAAGTCACCACGATGTAAAAAAGATGTCGAGATTCTAGAAAGAGTGCAGAGAAGAGCAACAAAGATGATCAGGGGACTGGAGGCTAAAACATATAACGAACGGCTGCTGGAATTGGATATGTCTAGTTTAATGAAGAGAAGGACGAGGAGGGACATGATAGCAGCATTCCAGTATCTCGGGGGCTGCCCCAAAGAAGAGGGAGCCAAGCTATTCTCCAAGGTGCCTGAAGGCAGGACAAGAAGCAACGGATGGAAACTAATCAGGGAGAGAAGCAACCTAGAACTAAGGAGAAACTTCCTGACAGTTAGAACAATTAATCAGTGGAACAACCTGCTTCCAGAAGCTCTGAATGCTCCAACACTGGAAGTTTTTAAGAAGAGACTGGACAGCCATTTGTCCAAAATGGTATAGGATTTCCTATACCAGGGGGCTGGACTAGATGACCTCCAAGGGCCCTTCCAATTTTATTATTATTATTGTTGTTGTTGTTGTTGTTAATCACACAGTCAGCCAGATGTTCTGACTGGATTTGGCATTTTTGTCTACCTATATTATTATTATTATTGTTGTTGTTGTTGTTATGTGAAACATTTGCTAAGCACATTTGCTAACCTTTCTTGCCACAGTCGTTAAGTTGCATCACTGCAGTTGTTAGACACCTGGTTGTTAAGTGAATCTGGCTTCCCCATTGACTTTGCTTGTCAGAAGTTTGCAAAAGGGAATCAGGTGACCCCAGGACACGGTAACCGTCATAAATACGAGTCAGTTGCCAATCATCTGAAATTTGATTGCGTGACCACGGGGATGCTGCAACGGTGATAAGTATGAAAAACGGTCGTAAGTCAGTCCCGTTGTAACTTTGAACGGACACTAAATGAACTGTTCTTAGTCCAGGACTATTGGGGCAACCAATACTTTCTAAAATGATGCTTTTGAACCCCCAAATTCCCGGGATTCTGCATAAAGACCATTATACAAAAGGATTGTCTGGAAAGGCACGTTTCAGACGGCATATAACTGGAAATCTGCCAAGCACCCATCCCAACACCAGCAGGCTGGCTAAAATCTGGGAGTGACTGACTTGTTTACCAACTGAGATCCCAATTATGGTAAGGAAGCCCAATTAAAAATAAATAAAGGTGGAGCAATCCTCCCTACGTATTCCAAGCCGAGGGAAACTCATCCGTTGGGCTGGGAAGAGATTTGGTTACATAATCTGCCTCTTCAACCCTCAGCAATCTTCTCCCAGGGAGAATTAATTCTAGTGAGGTTTGTGTTGCAACTGCCAGTGTGAATTCACCCCCAGCAAAGTTGTGTCCCACTGAATTAGGGAGGCAGTTAGACTGCAACGTAGTCTCTCTGTACGTGGGTGTGCTTGGGAAGCAAACCTACCAAACAATTGTGTGTGTCGTGCTTGTGATGAAAAATAAAAAAATGAAACTTTGATTTTGATGATTAGATAGATCAGTTGTTGTAGAAATGGCTAGTACATATTAATGTGTGGAAGCAAAAAGCTGAGGCTGTAATGTTGTTATCTTCCACTGTGCTAAAGAGAGTCAGAAGTCAATGCCTCTTTTCTCCCTTTTTTCCTGTTTTGCCTTACATTTTCTTTTCTCTTCCCTTTTTCCTCCCCCGTTTCCCATTGTGTTTATTCACCTTTGCATTTTATATTTTGATAAACTGATAAAAATTGAAAACAAATCTATGTGTGAGTATGTGTGATGCCTGTGCATATATCCATATTTTAACTGTGATTTTTTACTTTTAGCATGTAAATCTTAATCTTGTTTTTTGTGTGTATGATGCACATGTGCTTGAGCTGGTGTGCCTAGTTTATGATGTGTATGTATGTGTGATTTTATATATATGTAAAAGTAAAAATCAGAATTAAAAATGCATCATACACACACATTTGCTTCATATAATATATATATGTGTGTGTGTGTATGTATATATATATGTATATATATGTATATACATGCATACATACTTGAAGCAAATGGTGTGTATATAATGCATATGTGTATATGTAAATATTTAAGTTTGATTCTTACTTTTAACTTGTAAATTTTAATCTTGTTTAAAATTTTGTTTTTAACTATGCCTTTAGCCATATTATTTTTTATTATCTGCTTTGCAAACCATCCAGAATCATTTAAGTGAGATGGGTGGCGCAGAAATTTGAGAAATAAGCAAAATAAAATAGATACATGTATGCCTATGTTTATTCATTTGTTCATTTTATTAAATTAATATGTATATCGACCTATCTTAAACATACGATTGTCCTTGAGATTTCATTTACACCGGCACAGATTTGGGATAGATGAAGAACAGATTCCCCTCCAAGCTTAAGAGATTGTGTGTCCTAAAGGTTCCCCCATATATATATAAATAAATAAATAACATATTCATGGAAAAGTGAACTGGTCCTTCATTTTTACTGCTAGCCTTATTAAAGAGCTGCCAGGAAAGAAATAAGAGACAGAAGGATAGCAACAAAAGGAGAACAAAATGCTCACAGCCACACAGTCATTTTAGTGGTCCATAGATGCTTGAACAGTTCAGACAACAAGAGAACACAATATTTTAGATGCGTGCCAGAAACTCTGTCCTTAGACACCAAAATCTGGCTAATTATCCACGCAGCCTCAAGTTTTCTTGATCTACTAGTTGCTACCTTCTGGGCTTATGCAAAGATTCAAGGCTGGGTACTGAACACGTTCAAATTGATCTGATGCATTTCAGAAGCAGGCTGGGTGCTGTACAGGAGGCTGCGTCAATCTGAATCGAATCAGCTTGCATCAGATCTGTTCGGAAAATGGATCCAGACATTCAACGGTAGCCAAACCCTCTCTGCACATCCTTACGAGCTGACCGAACCGTTTTTGAAAATCACAACTGGACATCATGGCGTTCCTCAGCCACACTACGTACAGATAGTCCTTGCCTTACGACTACAATTGGAACGAGAGCCTCTGCAGCTAAGCAAACTGTTGAATAAGGCATCACAGAGCCACATCTAATTCTTACAACCTCTTTGCTGCGGTCCTTAAGCAAATCATACAGTCGTTAAACGAATCCAGCTTCCCCCCATTAACTTCGTTTCTCAGAACCCGGCTGAGAAGGTCAAACAACGGCGATCAGGTGACCCTGGGAGGCTGCAATTGCCATAAATATTTGCCTGTTGCCAAACCCCCAGTTTTGACTGTGAGGCTCATTAAAGGACAAGTCGCAAGCCACTTTTTTCAGCACCGTCATAACGTTGACTAGTCGTAAGTGGAGGACTACCTGTGCTGTGAAGGAGAGCTGTGCTGTCAACTCCAGGAAATCTCTTTCTCATTCTCCCCTCCCCCACTAGCTCCCTGTCCCTTTCTGGGAGCTATTTGGCTTTAGGCAAACAAAGCAAGGACAATTAAAGCCAGACTCAGCATAGAAAGCTTGGATAGGCTTCGGAAGCGCCCCAAACAACGAGAGCGCAAATGTAGCCTTTGAAACATAAAACATTGCAAAACAAAGCTGGACCTCCTGAATCCAGGAAGGAGAGGGACCGCCATCTTATCACTGCTCCAAAATTATAACACAAAAAGGGAACATTCGATCCAACTTTCTCGCGATTGCCACCTGCTAGCAACCAGGTGCCCAAACCCCAAAGAGAGGTAGGGATAAATGACAAACAAGGGCTGGGTTTGCACGATACGATTAACCAGGTCCAGTGAAAGATCCAGGGGCTTTATTCCCACCGCCTGCTCAGCTCTGCTTAGTTGTTTTTTTTTTGTTTTTTTTTAGGAGGGATTAAACCGGTCCACCTGGCTAGTTCGGGTGCCCAGGGATTGTTCAGACCCCCTTAAGTGGATTCATTCAGTAATCGTGTTCGTGCAAACTCAGCTCAACTGAAAGGCACAACCTTTATTTCTCAAAAAAGCCGCAAGAGGTTGGTGGTTTTTCTTTCCCACCCCCCCACCCCCCAGCTTTATTATTATTATTATTATTATTATTATTATTATTATTATTATTATTATTATTATTATTATTATGGATCATCGCACAGTCAGCCAGATGTTCAGACTGGATTTGGCATTTTGTCTACCTATAGAGTCCTTACCCAGGAACTGGGATAGGCAGATGTGGATGTTTGATGGTATTACAGATATCGTCGCAGGATGGAAGCAGTTCCTAATAAGGCCGCCTTTTGCAATTGACTAATAGCGAATTTGTCAATGCCAATGGTGTTCAAGTGGTGCTCCAGTTGTTTTGGAATTGCACCCAAGGAGCCTATGACTATTGGTACTACCCTTGCTTGCTTTTGCCACAGTCTTTCTATTTCTATTTGTAGGTCTTTGTATTTTGTTATCTTCTCCAGTTCTTTCTCTTCTATTCTGCTATATTATTACTATTATTATTATTATTATTATTATTATTATTATTATTATTATTATTATTATTCTCTCATTGCAAGCTTTGTGCAAAGTTTACAGGAAAAGCCTGTGCAGGGAAGGGGAATTTCCAACAACTGACCAAGGTGAAAAGACTGATGGTAAAGTAAACATATGTGGGTTCGAGGAGGCAAGCAAACCAGTTGAGAATTCCAAGGAACTTGGAGGATGCCCGCGGGGAGAAGACAGGTCTAGATTGGCTATCTAGATCAGATCTGCTTTTTGGAACCCAGCTGTCTTTGCAAATCTGTACCAAAAACTCTTCCCCGGTAGATGGGTCTTGATCAGAGAAGAAACCATCACTTACCCCAGGCAGTGTCTTCTGTTCGTGGAGCGCACTCTGAGCTTTTAGGGCCGAGTCCCGGGCACAGTATGTAAGAAAGGCACAACCTGGAAAGAAGAAAGAAGAATGAAAAGGGACATATAGACTTATGGAATGGCTTTGAGAGCCCATCTCTGTGCAACGGTGAATGGAAGTGGGAAAACCAAGACAATCAAACACAATCAGAACTCAACATTAGCTTCGCATGGAGGCTTCCTAAATTTAATCAGCAGTGTGCTGCAGCTGCCAAAAAGGCCAACACAGTGCTGGGCTGCATTAACAGAGGAATAGAATCAAGATCACCTGAAGTGTTAATACCACTTTACAAGGCCTTGGTAAGGTCAAACTTGGAATACTACATCCAGTTTTGGTCACCACGATGTAAAAAAGATGTTGAGACTCTAGAAAGAGTGTAGAGAAGAGCAACAAAGATGATTAGGGGCCTGGAGGCTAAAGCATATAAGGAACGGTTGCTAGAATTGGGTATGTCTAGTTTAACGAAGAGAAGGACGAGGGGGGACAGGATAGCAGTGTTCCAATATCTCAGAGGCTGCCCCAAAGAAGAGGGAGTCAAGTTATTCTCCAAGATGCCTGAAGGCAGGACAAGAAGCAACGGATGGAAACTAATCAAAGAGAGAAGCAACCTAGAACTAAGGAGAAACTTCTTGACAGTTAGAACAATTAACCAGTGGAACAACCTGCCTCCAGAAATGGTGAATGCTCCAATGCTGGAAGTTTTTAAGAAGAGACTGGACAGCCATTTGTCTGAAATGGTATAGGGTTTCCTGCCTGAGCAGGGGGTTGTACCAGATGACCTCCAAGGTCCCTTCCAACTTTATTATTATTATTATTATTATATAATAATAATAATAATCTCCAGCATGACCACATAGGGATGGAAAGCCTCTGCCTAAAATCCTGAGAAGGTGTTGTTTCTCCGTACCAACCACATTCGTCTTCGTGAACGGAAGGTTCAACTCGGTCAGCAGAGACTTCTGTCTTCTCTTTCAAATCATTATTTGATTCAGAACTACGGAGGCTATTATTCAGTAATCTAAAGAGAGGACACTCTTACTTCCTCTTTAGGGGAAAGGTCTAAAGAGCAAAGGCTTTGCATGACAAAGGCCCAGATTCGGTCCTGGGCAGTGTCAGAAACAGTTACCGTAGATACTTTGGGGAAAAACTGTCTTATGTTAGAGACAGGCATACAATTTGGCAGCAGGTCAACATGTAACCCAGTGAGAATTTGATTTCACACAGTTGGTATGGATTAGCAGGGCCTGGTTAATTGGCATCAGCAGGAAGGAGCCAATACACTTGGGATCAGTGCAAAAATCATCCAGATTAGCACATCAGAGGTTCATATAGTCCGGATCAGTTATTGCCCCTGGGGACTAAAGAGTGTATTATGAGCTCTGGACTTGGGAATAGAATAGAATAGAATAGAATAGAATAGAATAGAATAGAATAGAATAGAATAGAATAGAATAGAATAGAATAGAATATGGAATGGGAAAGAATAGAATAGAATAGAATAGAATAGAATAGAATAGAATAGAATAGAATAGAATAGAATAGAATAGAATAGAATAGAATAGAATGAATATGGAATGGGGAATAGAATAGAATAGAATAGAATAGAATAGAATAGAATAAATATGGAATAGAATAGAATAGAATAGAATAGAATAGAATAGAATAGAATAGAATAGAATAGAATAGAATAGAATAGAATAGAATTATGTATTGGCCAAATGGGGTTGGACACACAAGGAATATATCTGCAAAAGGTCCTACTTTGATCCTGGACCTCTGCAAATAAAAACAACTCTGCGATTTGCTGACATTTTGAATGGACAATATTGGATGAGCTGATATAAAGAAACCAAAACAGCTCCACAAAATGAGGAAGAGATCTCAAAAGACACCACAAGATTCTTTCTCTGACACTCATCTGTCTTGACTCAGCACTGGTACTTTAAGGTGTTCTCTTAACGAAGTTTGGACAAAGTTTAAAAAGAGACTCAACCTTTCCTGAATGCAAATCAGAGGCCTACTTGGGAACAAGAAACAGAGTCTTCACGCACCACCTCAAACACGTCCAGATTGGATCGTGAAGTGAAGGAAAAATAATATTTCTTCATTGCTATGAATCTTCAAATAATCCACAATCAGTCATATTCATTAGGTATATATTAGCCATGCTTTATCTCTCAAGTCTTACTGATCTACTCACATGGGTCCCAATTATTTGAGTTCAGCATTCTCAGTGATGGTTGGTATAGCTAGCAAAGTCCATTTTTAGACCAATCAGGATTAGTCCTATACACTGAATGAAGAAAATGGGTTTATTATTTGTTTATTAGTGGACTTTGCTGTTCTTGAGTAAGAAAAACTTGGCTATCTTCACAACACCCACCAAGTCATAAAGTAAGGTGGGCAAACTGTGTTTATTAGATGTTAGCTATCTAGAATAGGTGAGATGGGTGGCTATATAAATCCACCAAACAAACAAACCACACTATACACCAAGCCAAACAAGCTTAGTGCTGAGAGTAAATTGCCTTGTAGCCTGGATTTACACACCATTCCTAACCTGCTCACTGATTAACTTATTTTCTAAGTTTGCCTAATACTTGGATGCCCCAAGCAAACAGACCCCCAAACTTTCACGCCGCACCCAAATTCAACGTTGCCTCCTCACCTGCAGCAACCAAGCTACACCAAGAGAAACCAAGCTGAGTCTAGGATCCAAGGGCAGTTGCTAAGCAGGGATTTAATTGAGCTCGATCGGTGTGTCGCATAGTTTGGGACCAGGTCACAAAGGAGGCAATTCTATCGAGCAGTAATTCCCGAAGACTCTCTGAGACGGCAACAGATCAAGGAATGCACTTTGCTGGACAGGTGTTCCGCATGAATGAGCAATGTCCAGCAATGTCCAATCAATTGGATACAACCAGATGGTGGGAGAAAAAGAGGAAGGCCGAAGAAAACCTGGCGCCAGATATTTCAGGGAGATCTGAAAAACATCAACCTCAAATGGAAGGGTGCAGAGATTGTAGCTGCGGACTGAGAACTGTGGTGTATGCTTGTAGCCCAATGTGGGGCGGGGGGGGGGGAAAAAGATCACGGGGTTATATCGAATGAGTTGTTTGATTGAACTTTCTTGGGCCCTGCTGCGCTGGGCAGGTATCTCACTTGTCTCCTACACACACTGCGGGTTGTGAATCGAGAACGGAGAGTGGCGAAAACCGCCCAAACTGACTCACCTCTTAACTTCTTCCTTCCAGGAAGGCTCAGCTGATATTTTGTTATGGCTAAATAGTCACAAATGAGATTAGCGCCTTGGGATTTTGCATCAGCTTTGCAACGCTGCTGGATATGTGGCCAGAGCAGGGAGCTGTTTGCTTCCCTGGTGTAGAAGAAGAAGAAGGGGGGGGGGTTTGCTTAACCCTTTGGTCAAAGAGGAGAAACAGCAACGGTGCACACGGTTCACATCATCAGCTGAGCTTCCCCCATCCTTTTTTTTTTTAATTAAACCCTATATAAAGCTTCCTGAAATGATATTAAAACAGCAGCAAAACAGTTTCCCTTCAAAAATGTAAATATTTAATGAATGAAATTTGACATTGATGCATTTTTAATATTGGCACAATTAAATCTGCCAGATGATTAAGTATTAATAACTCTTAATAAGCGCAACCCTCTTGTCTTCCGATGGAAAGAAATCAAGAGTGACAGAAACCTAAAGCCAGAACAAGGATCCTGTGGACAATCCAGGTGATGGATAGACAAATAGCAGGAGGAAGGAAGGAAGGAAGGAAGGAAAGAAGGAAGGAAGGAAGGAAGGAAGGAAGGAAGGAAGAAAGGAAGGAAGGAAGAAAGAAAGGAAGGAAGAAAGGAAGGAAGGATGTTTATCCCATAGGTTCGCCCTGATGCAGATAGGAGCTGCAGAAGACACGTACTTGATAGATAAACAGAACCAAGCAGTCTTCATCAAACGAATGATGATATTTAACTGAATGGATCAGGCATGGTTTTTAAAGGGGGAAGGAAGCAAGTTGGATTTTATTTTTGATTGGCACAGTTTCCAGTATTGATCAATATCTAGAAACGGGAATGCTTCTGCTGGTGGTGGTGCTGCTGCTGCTGGTGATGAGGATGGCCATTTATTGATAAGATAAGTGGTAATTAAATTGGAGTTCAGGATACAGAATGAGGAAAAGGGCTTACCATGAAGCTCTGAAAACACTACAGCGTACAAATGGGGAAAGACGGCTTGATTCAGTCTGCCAAATTGCATATGATTTTCTAAAGAAACTGCAGGGGCCAGCCAACTTCCTTTATCCCTCCATCTGCCAGCAAGAAACATGATATCCATATATATTCATTTTAATGACAAACTGTCTCCTCTTTCACCCCTATTGAGCAAGAGACAGAAATTCACCTATCTGCTTGTTTGTTTCTCGCCCAGTGAAATCTCAGTTCATTCTTTTCTCTTTTTCACTGCTTTATCTATATCCCTGTCTCCTTCCATCACACCTGCAGGCCTACATTTTTTTTACGAAGCTACCTTTTTAAAATATTACTTTAAAGACCGCCCCCGTCAATCTACCTTGGAAATGATAGAAAATTAAAATGAATCTTCTTCCTGACTATTACGCATTCTGCAGCACAAACCCAACACCAGGTATCAAATTCTTGTTTTACCTTCATTCAGACACTTTTCAAAATACTGTGGCTGATCCTGAGAAAGTTATAAAAACAAAGAGGTTGGGATAGTCTTTTTTTATTATTGTTTTCCAGGGAATGGGGTGCATTGGAATAAGATGTTTTTTTAAAAATGCTCATTTTCTCTATACTTGAAAGATATCGATCATGTATTTTACCCACAAGAAAAGAACCAATGTGAAACCTTTCAATATAACAAGCTGAACATCCCAAAATACAACTTACACTTGAATTCAGGTGAGGGTGTTTTTTTTCCAGACAACTAAACACAGAGTTATAACTTCTGATCAAAATGTTGTTCACACTTCCTTAGGAATTAGAGCAATACGTATTTACTTAGAAAAAAATCTTGCTGAATTCAGAGAGCAAGTAAGCATGCTTAAGATCTCAGCCTTAACCAAAAGCTTTCACTCTCTGGAGGCTAGAAAGCCAAAAAGTTGGTCAGACATGTAACAGGAAGTTTTATCTCTGCATTTAATGGACAGGAGAGAGCCTTCTGCTGATAACTTCCAAGAAGTGGAGCTAAAAATATAACCTGGAGTAGGAGAACCTGCTATTTGGGGGAAGAAAAAGTGAAATGCAAGCATTCTAAGGAACACTGAACCTATTTTTTTCCCCCTCTTATTATGGTATCCGTTCGTTTTCTCTATCCTCCATTTTAGCTCCTGGAAATCGCTCACAAGGACCTACCAGGACCCATTTTGCCTCTGTGAACGCGCTAATTCCACGATAATTGATTTCTGACCTTCAGTAAAATTAACAACTAGAAGTTTTATGAGCAAGTCGACCTCTTTCTAACTTTGAGGTGACAAAGAAGAATGGTACTCTTTGGAAAAGTGAAAGTGGATTGCAGAATACACCCACCTGTCTTTCTCTCTCTCTCTCTCTCTCTCTCACACACACACACACACACACACACACACACACACACACACACACTTCTTTGCTGCCTGTTAAAACACTAAGAAGGGGATACTGATAAATTTAGGCAGGTATGATGATATTGAGCCTGTTTCAAATAGGGGTTAAAGTCACTGGGAGCTGGGAGCTCCCAGTGACTTTAAGTCTCGCCTTAAGGACATTGCCAGATGGATAAATTATCTTGCTACCCTTACTCAACTAGATGCCTACAAGAAATTCCACCGAGCAGGAACCCCATGGGGTCTCCTAAGAGATTGCATTCAGAAGGAGACAGTCCATTCTTGATATGGAGAGCCTGTTTGGTGTAGTTGCTAAAGGCCCTTGACTACAAACTGGAAGACTATGAATTCTCATCCTGACCTAAGGGGACTTTGGACCAGCCCCTTCTTCTCAGTCCTAAGAACAAGAAGACAATGATGACCAGTTTTAAAAAAAAAAGGTTGCCAAGAAACCTGCAGGGAACTGTCCAACCAATTTCAAGAAGTCGAAACTGACTTGAACGCTCACAAATAATGTCATGCCATGACACAAACATGGGCTCTTGATGTGAAGATACACCGCCGTGCACACAGAAAGACACGTCCTACCACATTCTCACCAGTCTTCACACTGGATCTGTCAGCTGAGGAACAAGAAGCAGGAAATCTTCCAACAGTAGACTTTTACATTTCCTAAGCCAGTTGTTCTGGAAACCCTTTTTCTTCTTGGAAAGGGGGGGGGGAATGCTAGCTTCACACCATACTCTTCACCAAATACGGTACTCTATTTTCACATATAAAGCTTGCTGAGGTAATAAACAAATAAACATTTGATGCCTTAGTTTATTAGCTGGTTGGCTTTAGGGATTAACGTTCTGCAAGAACTTGAAAAACGGGGGAAAAAACAACCTAAGCTTATTTGGTAAAGAAATGGAATTATGCAAATCCCAAGTGTTTATGCATTATTCCTGACCCCCCCCTCCACTGCAAATACACATGCTCCTTCATCAGCATATGCAGGACCTCCCCAGCCCCACTCCCCCCCCATGACGCACAAATGCATCACAACAAACTTTGCAGTGAAACCAAGGGACCACCTTCAGTTCAGCAACTCTGCTTCCGGTTATGTTTACAAATCTCTCTCTCTCTCACACACACACACACACACACACAAGTTACATGCACACACACTTTTGATTCATCCACCTCTTTTCTCACAGATCCAGCTAACACTTTGATGGGGAGGTGGAGGAGTGGGGGGGGGTCGCACAAACCACTCATCCAAGATTTCACAAAGCCCAATTTTGCATCTGCCCAACCTTGGAAGGCAAGTTCTTCTTTCCAGCCCATTTCAGGGGGGGGGGGTTGTGCAATGCACCGGGTCCGTAAATTACCAGGCAAGAGAAGGGGCTGCAGTCGGAGGGCAGGCCAAGCTGCGAAAAAAGATGAATGGAGGTTAGCCAGAACCAAGCTTGAGCGTGCCGTGTTGCGAGAGGAGCTGTAGCAGCCCTCTCTGTTTACTTGGAGAGACCACCCCAGCTGAAGATGCCCGCATGCCTAACCCCGCTGAGTTGCAAAGAACCTGGGAAAGGAGGGCAAAAAGAGGTATTAACTTCTTGCTGCCAAAACATATGGTTTTTTTTTTGACGGGGGGGGGGGGAGAAGGGAGGTCTCCTCTTCCACGTGTCACAACTCCATCCTCTCTTGCTGTCCAGGTTTTTACCTCTCACCCAAGTTTGTACACAGGCTTATTGGTACGGCCTGGGGAGGGGAGGGCGGGCGTGTGTGTGTGTGTGTGTGTGTGTGTAAGCACCAGAGGGGGAGGGCCGCCTTCCTCCCTGCCTCTCGCACTCCGTGTCATTTCTTTGTGCCTGAATCAAGCCTTTCAGGAACCAAAACACCCCGGTAGGTGACAACCTTCCCCCCCCCCGCGCGCGCCCGGGTCATCAGCCCTGCTGGGGCGCGAGGCACTTTTTCTCTCCTCTTGAGCCGCCAGGCCACGCGCACTTCCCCGCGAGCCCGGGGGGCTCTCCGTGGGGCTGCGTGGCTGGCTTGCTTCCGAGTAGAACTGCACGTCTCCCTCGCTTGCGCACACACACACACACAGAGACGCACACACATACACACAGAAGCAGAGAGCGCGGCGGCGGCGGCGGCGGCGGCTGGCGGTTCCTTTGTTGGCCCCTCCGCCCAGCCAGGCGGGGCAGGCGTGGCGGGTCTCTGGGAGGCGTCGGGGCCGGAGGAGGGGTCCGGCCGCGCGGTCCAGCTCCTCCGGGCGTGGGGGGGGAGGCGCGCGTGGGGAGGGAGGGAGGGAGGGAGGGGGCGGCCCGCCCGCCCGCCTACCTTTGTGCATGCCGGTGAAGCGATCCTTGAGCACGGTGAGTTCGTAGATCTTGCCGAATTCCTCGAAGAGGGGCTTGAGGTCGCTCTCCTCCAGGTTGCGCGGGATCTGCCCGATGAAGAGCTTGATGGCATCGTGGTCCTTCATGGCGATGGAGCCCCCCGGGCCGGGCGCCGGCGCCGTCAGCCCGTTCATCCTCGCGGCGCTGTTCGTGGTGCTGAAAGCGGCGCTCTCCGCCTGCGGCGGCGGCGGCGGCGGCGGGGGCGGCGGCGGCGGCGGAGGTGGGGGGGCGGCTCCGCCGGGAGGCGGCTGCTGCTGCTGCTGCTGCTGCTGCTGCTGCGCCAGCCCGTTGGCCAGAGTAGCCATGATGTTCCCAGCAGGCGCTGCCCCGCCCCGGCCGCCCCGCCCCGGCGAGCCCTGCCTGCTTGCGCCGCGCGGGAGCAGGGGCGAGGGAGGGAGGGGGGGGGCCCTGCTGCCCAGCCCGGACTCCCCCGCGCCGCGCTCAGCCGGATCTTCCCCGCTTTGCCTGGGCGACGGAAGGCGCTCCACTCCGCTCCGCTGCGCCTCCTCCGCCTCCTCCTCTTCCCTCTTGCCCCCCCTCCCTCGGCGGCGGCGGCGGCGGCGGCGGCCACTGGGCCCGGTGACGTCAGCTGACTAGCCCTGGACTCCTCGCATATGATTAGCATAAGGAGAGCCTTCGGCCAATCAGGGAGGGAGGAAGGGGAGAGGGGTGGGGGGCGCGCCCGGAGAGGAAGGCAAGCCGAGCGAGCGTCGGGAGATCCGAGCTGCAGCGCGGGCTCAGCCGGGCAAGAGGCAGGAGGGAGGGAGGGAGGGGGGGATCTCCGGAGAGGGGCCGGCGGTGGGGGGGGGAGAGCCAATGGGGAAGGCCGTGGGGGCAGGGGAGTGGGGCCCCCCTTGCAGAGGGAGGCGGGAAGGGACCCTTCCCCTTATTCGGGGGGGGGAGGTCCTGGTGAAACTTACCCCATCCCCTGGTTAAGGGGCGGGGGGGGGGCTGGAGTGCCAGAGAAGTGGGACCTACCAGGGGCTCAGGGGATGGTGAGTGAAAGGAACTGCTCCTGGGTCTGGCATCCTTGCTTGTCCATCCGCCCCCGCCAACTCTTACACCAGTCTTAGCGTTGTTTCAGATGTTTGGAATTGATAGTCGTGGGCTTCCAGAATCGAGTCTCTGATATATCTAGACAGGACCCAGAAGAGAGCCAAGTGCTAGCCAGGTGGTTCTGATAAGTAGTTGGACCTGAGACAAGCAGAGACAGAGAGTCCTCAACTTACAACTCCTTAGTGAGTGTTTGAAGTTACAACGGTGTTGAAAATAGAGAGTTACAACCACTGCTCACACTTATGACTCTTGTGGCGTCCCTGTGGTCACGTGATCAAAGTTGGGGTGCTTGGCAACCAGCATGCATTCACAATGGTAAATACCCAACTTCTGCTGGTCAACGAGCATGTGCAGAGTTCCTTGCCTTCATTTGCTGTTTCCAAAGATTAAGTGAAGCTTTAGGCCCAGGACAGAATTTAATATAATTCATTAGGTGTTTCTAGCCAAGAATAACAAAAGATTGTTCCAATTTGTATCCCTACCTACATGCAACTTAACCCAGATTGATGTTCTAGTCTAGTTTGTGTCTTCAGGGCTGTGCAGGTATTTAGACGTGTGCACAAGAAGTTGGCCTAAGGATCTATCACAGCCACATTCCTTGTTGGTTGAGCAAATACGTTTATTGGGAAGAGAGTGCTACACCCTTGAGGCATCCCCAAACTTGCATGGATGGGAGAGCTTGATGTTGAAAAACAACAAAATCTGCCTTGCTGGAGAAAATGGGAAGTTCTGAACCACTGAGAGTTCAGTGATATAGAAATAACGATGATGATGATGATGATGATGATGATGATGCTAACAACAGCAGCAGCAACAGCAACAACAACCACCACCTTTGGAGACCACTTGAACACCACCAGCATTGACAAAAGCACCATGTCAATTGCAAAAGGCAGCTTTACTTGGAACAGTTTACAACCTGTGACAATATATTTAGAGAATAGAATAGAATAGAATAGAATAGAATAGAATAGAATAGAATAGAATAGAATAGAATAGAATAGAATAGAACAGATTGTAGAATAGAATAGAATAGAATAGAAGAGAAGAGAAGAGAAGAGAAGAGAAGAGAATTCTTTATTGGCCAAGTGTGAATTAAGTTATTATTAAACAACAACTCCCTATCCCAGGTGCTTGGGAAAGATTTGATAGGTAGACAAGATGTCAAATCCAGTCTAAACATCTGGTTTACTGTGCAACCAACCATAATTAATATATGGGCTGGGCTGAGTTGTAGACAGCTACTTGGAAAAACTGGAAAAATATGAATGGCATCGCAGAGTAATAGAATCCACCAGGTAGAAAGGGACATTTTGGCCATATTCTGTTCAGTGCAAAAATCCAGGTTAAACTATCCCAGATGATTGATGTCCAGCCATGGCATGAATTCCTCCAAAGAACAAGGATCCATATTGATTTCATGGTTGACCCTTTAGGAGCAAGGACAAGGGTCAACCAATAAGTCAGAGATGAAAAACATCTGGAGGAGAGACTGTTCTTCAAACCGTGTCCAAGCTGAAAAGTTCAGGCATCTGGTAGCACCTTTTCCAACTAACAATGTTCTTACAAGACAGAAACTTTTGTAAGCTAGCTTATGCAGTTTAAGAACATGTGTTAGCCAGAAGAACATCTACCAGATTCCTCATTGTTTGCTCCTGAGGACTAACATGGTCTTCTTTTACTGTAAGCCGTAATAGGCCACCCATGCAAACCTTCAAAGGAACCAGTGGCCAACTCTCGTGAGATCCATCCAGAGCAGAAAGTTTGCCTCACTGTCACACAGTCACACAGCAAAGATAATGGCCCCTGGGCCACTTGTAGCCCCCACAAAGCCTGGGAGATCTCCCCAGAGAATTTAGCCTTCTTGCCCTCATTTTTCAGCAGCAGGATTATTGTGGATATGCAACAACTTGGTTTGCTGCCAAAACGTGAGATCTCTTTCGAAGTGTAGATTGCGTATCAGTTGGTTTGTAAGGGATTTCTTGGGGCTGTGCCACGGCCCACCTTGCCCCGAGGAACTTGCCACTGGCGTCGCTACCCAAGAACATCTATTTCTTGCTTCTCTGTCTCCTAACAGCTCTGCCTCGGTGGGCTTGTCGCTTCCAGCCCACGTGTTCAGCAAAACATCCTTCACACCTGTTCAGGGCGCCTGCCCACGTCTCTATAAATACCCCCATCTGTGAATAGGAAATATCAAACGTTACCTGTAAATGAGGGAAGCTATTGTGACCTGATTTACTGGGAATCCTCCAAGCCCCAAATGCTCTGGCCATCAACTGGGGGATGGGGGCAGTGGTGGGATTCATCCGGTTTGCACTAGTTCGGCAGAACCGGTAGCTAATTTTTTGTTGCCCAGGCCCAGAATGGACTTCGGAAGCGGCATCCACACAGAGAACCAGTTGTTCACATATTTGAATCCCACTACTGGATTGGGGGGGGGGTTATAAGAGGAAAATTAATTTGCACAGAGTTCCAGATCTGACCCCTAGTCACAAGGCAGGGTGTGTGTGTGTGTGTGTGTGTGTGTGTGTGTGTGTGTGTGTGTGTGTGTGTGAAAGCATCAACTCTCAACTCTCAGAAGTCACAACACAGCCCGGCCACGGGTTTCAGATTGAAGAAATCCGGTGTAGGGATTTAGGGAAGAATCTTGTTTGGTCTCGTCATTCTTTTCATCTATTCTTTTGCCCACTGCCCCACCAACCCTTAGGACTATTGGTTTAGCGAGTGTTTGAAGTTGCAACAGTGTTGAAAATAGAGAATTTACAATCGCTCCTCACACGTAGGACTTTTGCGGCATCCCTGCGGTCACGTGATCAAAATGGCTTGGCAACCAGCCTGCCTTTACAATGGTTACAGCATCCTGGCTCACGCGATCCCCATTTCAGACCTTCTCGGGCAACATCCAACAAGCCCAAGTCAATGGAGGAAGCTGGATTCACTTAACAATGGCATGGTTTGCTTCACGGACATGGCAAGCAAGGTTATAAAATCGGGCACAACTCACTTAGTGACAGAGGTCTGGGTCCCAATTGTGGAGGACCACAGGACACTTATCCCAAAGCAGATTGAATGCAACCAGTTCCCGCTGGAATGGTTATCACACACCGTGTGGCAGAATCACACACGGGCACAACCTCCAGGCTGCCTTGTTGCAAGGAGAGCAACTCTTGGTCCACTCCTCATATTGTTTAAGATTCAGACACACATCTCCTGACCACATGTCTTTTTCTGGTGCCGTGGATTCTACCATTAACTTTCAGTTGCTTAAAATTGACCTTCAAGGTGTTAAGACTGGATATTGTAGGAGAAGATGGGGGGGGGGGAAGTGATAGAAATTGAAAATAGTGGGAGGGTAATCTAGTTCTTTCCACTTATAGCCAGGTTCACTTCCCCTTTGCTTTTCCCCTTGCCTTGACACAATCCCTCCCCCCCCCCTGACCTCAACTCACCACAATTTGCTTATCTTAAGTGTGTTAGATTTCGGGGGGGGGACCAAAACAAAATAACACCGAGGCTCTATTTGTAGAATATGCTGCAACGGGTTTTCTGAGCTTAGCAGAACATTTGGAAAACATGTTACATTCAGTGGATTTCTATTAATTGCACATTCACATCTCCATCTTAAGGGTAAACAGAGGGGGAGAAACCTTGTTATCCCAAAAGCATTTATTCCCTTGAACTGTCCATTCTCTAAAGCAGGACTTCGAAATGTAACAGCATCGCTGGGGTGGGCACTACAATATCCCTGTTGCGCTGAGGTTCTTGGCACCATATTGGTTGAGAATAGAGGGAGCTGAAGTCCCATAAGATCCGGAGGAACATCGTTCTCCAGTTTCTTCTGAGCTCTGTCCAACTTTGTCATCTTAACCGTTGGCAAAGATCAACGCTACTTACCGCGTATGGATTTCTGGCTGGATCTAAAGTTGCCTTATATGGAATGTGTGAAATGCAATTCAGACAACTCCTATTAACCTAAAAACTGGACAAATACACTGGTGATTTTCTGAGCATAGAGTGCTCACGTGAGGTTCCCAGGCCTTCTGTACTACCTTTGTCTTCTTTAACAAGTCCAATAAAACAAATCATAAGTACTACTTGATAGCGTTCTTCTCCCCTTTTGCCATTTATTAATTTTAAAAAGGGGTTTTGTTTTGTGAGTTATTGTTGCTAAAAATGCAGCTGGGGAAACATGGACCAACTGTTTGGATATCCTAAAGCAGTGGTTCTCAACCTGTGGGTCGGGACCCCATTTGGGGTTGAACGACCATTTCATGGGGGTCTCCAAACAACGCAGTCCGCCATTTTTTTCCCCCTTTTCCTTAGCTGTGCTACTCCCTTTTATTCTATTGGCTTTTGAAAGCCAATAGAATAGACTCTCTTGAATGGAGTCTAATTCTATTGGCTTTCAAAAGCCAATAGGAATTGTCCAGG